CCCCCCCCACCTCCAGCCCTCCTTACCATGAAGGCTGGCAGCACCGGCTGCGCAAAGCGAGCCTTGAAGGTGTGCAGCAGCTGCTTGGTGCGGGCGTTGTAGAAGGACAGGAATCCTGTGGGCACACATGGGTAGGTGTGGGGCACACATAGGGGCACACGTGGGACACAGAAGGGGGCACATGGAGCACACATAGCAGCACATGTGAAACACACATGGGCACACGCAGAAAGCATGCAGGGGCACGTGTGGGGCACAGATAAAGGGGGAATGTATGGAGCACATACAGGGACATGTGGGGCACCATAGGGGCACGTGTGGGGCACACACAGGGCATGTGGGGCATATATGAGGCACATCTAGGGACACACGTGCATACACAGGGGCACACAGCGGGGTGTTTGTGGGACAGATGTGGGGCACACGGGGGAGAAGATGGGGAACATGGAGACACGTGTGGGACGCAAAAGGGGCCACATGGAGCACACATGGGGCAAATGTGGGGCACACATGGGACATGTGAGGCACAGATAAGGGGCACGTGTGGGGCATAGAGAAGGCACACATAGGGGTACGTGTGGGGCACACAGGGGCATATGTGGGGCACATATAGGAGCATGTATGGAGTATACAGGGGGGCGCATGCGGGGCACATGTGGGCACACAGGTGTGCACGTAGGGCACACACAGTCACACGTGGGGGCACACATATGGGCACTTATGGAGCACACAGGAAGGCACGTGAGGGGCATATATGGGGCACAGATGGAACACACATGGGGCACATTTGGGACACTTGGGGCACATCCGGGGCCACGTGTGGGACACGCATAAGGGCACATATGGAGCACATGGGGGGCACACATAGGGGCACGTATGAGCACAGATGGAGCACGCTTAGGGACAAGCACGGGGCACACGTGGGGCACAGAGCTCCACCTCTGCCCATCCAGCGCCCTGCAGGCAGCCCCAGGAGCAGCTCCCACCTTCATGGAAGTTGCAGTAGACGCCGATGCAGTCGGGCACGGGCACATCCAGCACCTTGGCCTTGTTGGCGTGCTTGGCGCTGAAGCTGACCTGCAGCCAGTTGTTGAGGTGGAGGCACCACGACGCCGACGTCTTGCCCAGCTGATCGAACTTGCCCAGGCTGCGATACGCCACCCCGACGCCGAACGCTTTGCTGTCGCGGTCGTACCGCACCTCCCAGTAGTGGTCGTCGCCGTCGATCAAGGTGTCTCCTGTGGGCACACGGCTGCCACGTTCCCCCCCATCTCCATGCCCCACATTTCCCCCCTTCTCGAGCCGTGGCTGCCGCTCTCACCCAACACCGTGTAGGATTCGGCGGTGAAGCGATCCCTGCCGGCGCGGCCCAGCGACATCCGCTTGGGTGACTGCACAGCCCTGGGATGGAGGCAGGCGGTGAGGCCGGTGCCGCCGCCAAGACCCGGTGCTGAGCGGGGTGCTGTTACCTGGCGGGGGAGTTGGCAGGCGACGCAGTCCTGCCCTTCCCGTCCTTCTCCCTTGTCTTCACATCCTGCACCTTTCCGCCCGTGGCGTCCCACTCCACGCTGAAGTCCTCCACGCGCAGGTTCTGGTGGCACGTGCTGGCATCCAGCCGGAACATGAACGCTGGGGACAGCCACCATCAGTGCCACCCCCACCCCCCCCCCCCCCCGGCCGCCGGCGCCCCGCCCCCCGCCGCGCCCACCTCTCGTCTCCAAAGTGACCGCCTCAGAGAACTCTCCAGCCACGGCTTTGTTGCAGGCCCGCACTCGGAAATTCATGTACTTCATGTCAAACTTCAGCCCTGCGGACGCACGCGGCGAGGTGACAAACTGGGAGCCCTGGGACAGCTCTGCTCCGCACCGCCCGGCCCCGCACCCTCACCAGACAGCGTGTACTCAGTGCCCTTAATGCCCTCCACCACCATCCAGGGCTGCTCCTCCTTGGCTCGGGGCGGCCCCTCGAAGTTGGTCCTGCGGTACTCCAGCACGTAGTGGTCGATCTTGCTGTCCTCATCAGGCATCCTCCAGGACAGCGTCACGCAGTTATCAGCCACCAGTGACTCCGTCAGGTCGATCTCAGGGGTGCTCGGCACTGCCAGGAGGAGCAGCTCGTCAGTTCTGACCCCCCCCCCTTCTCCAAACACAACCTCCCTGCCCTACAGGGCACCCCCAGGTGTGCTGTGATGGGAGGGCGGACACCCTGAGAAAGCACCTATGGAAACCTGAACGCGTGGCACCCAGAGCTCCCTGGATGCAGCCCCTCTGAGCACGCTGCCCCACGCACCCCAGCACAGCCCCACAGCTCCCGCTGAGCCCTCTGTGCTTCTACAAAGGCCACCAACCACATCCCCACACCCCCCTCCCGTGGGGGTACCTGGCAGGAAGGCGAGGGCTTGCAGCAGGCGGCGCTCCTGGGCAAAATCCACCATCAGGTGGCTCATGTTGTCGCTCACCTTGGCCTTGAGAGAGAGGCGGAAGGCGGGAGCCATCGTCACACTGGGACAAATGGGGAAAAACCATCAGCCAGGCTGGGAGATGGACCCAGACCCCTCACCCCGACCGCCAGGAGGGATCTGAGGAGGGTGGGCAGCGCCCTGCACCCGCATCCCCCCCCTCTGTAGCTGTGGGGTGAGGGCAGGGCGACGCCGACGCTGTGGGTTAGTGGGGCACGGGGGCAGCGGGGGGACCGTACCTATCCTTGATCTGTTTGGCAGCCTGGAGAGCGCAGAGGGAAAGAGGAGAAAAAGAAAGCAGGTGAGACAGCAGTGCCAGGAGCCAGCGTGCTGCAGCGTGTCCTGACATCGTGGCCTCACAGCACAGCATCCCTGCAGCATCCCTGAAGCATCCCTGCAGTGGCACCCACACGGCACAGCATCCCTGCATCCCCACAGCAGAACCCGCACAGCGCAGCGTCCCCTGCGCCCCACCGGCGTGCCATGCAGTGCAGCATCCCCACATCCCCATCCCGGTGCACTGACATCCCTTTATCTCTGATAACAGAAGGTGCCACGCAGCACCTGAGGCTCTGGGTGGTATGGGGGGGTCCCAGGCCCTAACCAAGCCTGGCAGCGGGCAAAGCCAGCCCAGCGTTAACAAGGTGCCCAGCACAGAAAGACAGGAGCGTGGCCGCCTGGGGCGAGCACAGTCAGAGTGGCACGAGCCAGAAGGTGAGGGGGGACAGCACTGCCCAGCCCCCACCTCCAGCACACAGCGCTGGGGCAGCCGGGCAGGGATGGATGGCAGCTCCCAGCTTGTGCACCTGGGCGAAGTCGTGGTTGTTGGCCGTCGCCAGGGTCTGGTTGGCCGTCTCCAGCAGCTCCTCCGAGCTCTCCAGCGCTTTGGCACACGCCGCCAGCTGAGCCTGAAGGACACAGAGCTGCAGTGTGTGGTGGGGGCAGGCAGTGGGGGGGCAGGGCAGGCGCTCACCTGCAGCTCGTAGGTGCGGCTGGCGCGGTCCTGCTTGATCTTCATCAGCATGCTGTCCTTCAGCTCGTCCAGCAGCGCATACAACGACTGGAACTCCCCCTCCAGGTCCTCCTGCACTCGTGCAGAATTGTCCTGGTGGTGACAGCACACGTCAGCAGGTGATGGAGGCGGCCATGAGCACCACCCCTCATTCTGTCCCCTTAGGGGACCCCCGTGCAGCAGTGCTGGTGACGGGGGGGTGACACGCGGGATGTTGAGTTACCTCCACATTCTGCAGCATCTGCTTGAGGGAGTAGATGAAGTTCTGGATCTCTTCATTCTTCACAGCCAAAGTGGTGATGATCTTCCGCAGTGCTTCCTGCCCATGGTGTGTGTGGGGGGGGGGGGGGGCACACCGTCAGTGTCCTCCTGGATCCCCTCTGAGCTCAGCCACCCCCAGGGTCCCCTCAGCCCCACACCCCCGACCCCACGGGACGCAGCACAGACACAGCAATGACTTGGCAGAGGGTGCGGGCGAGCTGCCAGCCGGGGGGGGGCATGGGGGAGGGTCACACCCGCACTGCTGCTGTGCCGCCCGGCGGGGGGGGGGGGGGGGGGAGGGTGGAGAAGCTCCCAGCAGCCCCTGCCCACATCTTTGCCCCTCCATCTTTAACCCCTTCATCCCCCTCCTCCAGCCCTCCTCCTATTCCCCCCACCTGTCCCTCACCAGCTTCATCCCCTCTCTCCTCCATCCCTCCATCCCCATCCCTCCATCCCCATCTTCCCCCTTCATCCCCACTCCTCCATTCTCCCTTCATCCCAACTCCCTCCATCCCTTCTCCATCCCTTCCCCATCCCCATCCCCATCCCCCCCAAGCCCTGTCCGGTACCCGGCCCGGCCCCACCTGGTCGCCCATACCGGGCCGCCCCCACCGCCTCCAGGCCCTGCCGGCACCAACAAAAGGGGAGCGGTTCCGTCCCCGCTCCGCCCCGCCCGCAGAGCATGCTGGGAAGCGTAGTCCGCCTTCGAGGCACGCTGGGATGCGCCCTATTGCCGGAAGACGGACCGCGTGGCATGCTGGGAAGTGTAGTGCGGCCGCGGGGTGTGCTGGGATATGTAGCATTGGCTGCGGGTGGGCGCGGGGCATGCCGGGAAGCGCAGTGCGGCCGCGGGGTGTGCTGGGATAGGTCGTATTACCATGGGGCGGGCGCGGGGCATGCTGGGACGTGTAGTCCCGCGTAGGCACCGTGCTTCACCCAGAGGGCTGAGCCCCCAGGAGGAGCTGAGCGGCACCGCTGCATTCAGGCCCCGCTTCCCCCCCACATCTCAGCCCCCTCCTGAGGAAATGAGGCCCCCAACCCAGGGCATGGGGGGACGGAGGAGGCTGCAGGATGTCTCGGGAGGGGAAGGAGCCCCCAGCGGGACCCCCACCCTCGTGGTTGTCACCGTGAGGCCACGTGGGCCGCAGTGCTCTGGGGTCAGGATGTGCCCCCAAAGGAGGGGTCACGGAATGGTGGCACATTTGGGTCAGCTCAGTCCTCGTGCTGGGTGCTGGGGTGGGATGTGGGGTCGGGGTCTGATGGGGGTTGGGGGCTGATGGGGGTCGGGGTCTGATAGGGGTCTGATAGGGGTCGGGGTGCGATGCTGCGCTGTCCCTCACCCCGCGCAGCTCCCTGCGCTGCCACAGGAAGCCGTGGCGTCACGGTGAGGGTGACAAGCAGACCAGGTGCTGTGGGGACAGCGGAGAGGACAGTCCAGGGATGGGGACCTCATGGGGACAAAGCAGCCGTGGGGATGGTGCCTGTGTGGGGATGTGGAGGTTTGGGGTGCTCATCCCCCTCCTTGATGGTGAGTAGTGAGGGTATGAGGGGGGTGGGGGACTTGGGGCTGTGGGGTGGGGATGAGGGGAAACAGAGGGGCTGCGGGGATCGGCCTAGGATGGGGGGCTGCCTGGGGTGTGCGTGTCCTGAGGGTGGAGAGGGAGCAGGGAGGGGTCTGGGACAGAGACAGACGGACATGAGGACAGGATGGGGTCAGAAAAGATCACTCAGACGCCACCTTCACCCCATCCCCCCGTGCTGCTGACCACGTCTCCATGTGTCACATCTCCGCAGTTCTCAGCCCCTCCAGGTACAGTGACCCTCCCCCCCCCCCCCCCCCCCACGCTCCCCCTTGGCGGCTGCGCCAGCGCCTCACCTCTCAATGCTCCTACATCCAACCCAGTCAGAGTGGGGACAGAGATGGGGACGGTGGCCGTGGGGTGGGGGGCACAGCAGAGACAGTGAGGATGGGTGAGGAGACGTGGGGAGGAAAGAGAGCTGAACAGGAAGGGGACAGCAGCGGTGAGGACAGGATGGGGACTTGTGGGCAGTGGCTGCGGCCAAGCAGAACACGTGAGCAGAACAGAGGGTGTCCCAGCGTCCCCATCAACAGCAACAGGGCCGTGGGGCACTGGGGGGCCTCAGGAAAAGCCACGTGCCCAGCCATCATCCCCAGAGCCTCGTGGTGACCCCAGTGCTGCTCCCAGCAGTGGGAGCCCTGCAGGTGAGCCAGGAGCCGGCTGAGCTGCGGGTGGCAGCGGGCACCAACGTGTCCCTGCAGTGCCAGCTGGTGACAACAGAGCCGTGGTCCATGGCCCGCATCGCATGGCTGAAGGACGGGGAGCACGAGGTGCTGTGCACCACCCGCCTGTATCCCAAAGCCGCTGTCTTGCCCTGTGCCACCCCCCGCCTCCAGCTCGCATGGAGCCCACCCCACGCCAAGCTCAGCCTCCATGGGGCACAGCAGGGCGACGCAGGATGCTACGTCTGCTGCTTCACCATTGAGAAGCCCTACCTCGCCGTGGCCACCTGCGAGCAGCGTGTGAATGGCACTCTGCTCCACGTCAGCACAGGTATCCGGGAGGCACAAGGGGGTGGGCTGTGCTCTGCTGCTCCCCCCAGGCACCCCCGGCAGCATTTAGTGGGGTCTGTGGGACGTGGGACCCCCAGGAGCGTTACTGGTGATGTGGGGTCTCTGGATGGCAGCACATCCCCGAGTGCTCACAGGGTCACAGCAGGGATGGAGTGAGGATGGGCACAGCGCAGCTCTGACTCTGCCTTCCCTTTGCTGCAGGAGCTGATGGAGCGCACGGGGCAGGTATGTGTGTCCCCAGCGACCCCCATTTTCCCCCCCCCCCGGGTGCTGGTGGCAGTGAGGCAGCGGCCCAGCTGGCTGTGCTTGCAGAGCTGAAGCAGAAGCTGTGGGGGGCTGTGGGGGGCGCCTTGCTGCTCGTCGGGCTGATCTCCCTCGGCTGCTGGTGCTGCAGGAGGAAGGCAGGTAACCCCCCACCCTGAGCAGTGCTGTGCCCACACACCCCGAGTGCATTCACCCCACACCCACCCACCCACACCCCTGCCTGGATGCCGTCCCCAAATACCCCAATTGCCCTCTCCCCCTCTGCCCCAATCCCCCCCCACTCTCCTCCCACTTGGAAAACACCCCTCTGTCCGTGCACCCCGTGCCCCACTCCCCTCTTCCTTTCAGACCCCTGGCTGCCCCACTGGGTGCCTCTGGGGCTGGAGGCTCCCCTGCTGGGCTGTGCCTATGGGGCTGTGCCTGCCCTGCACCCCACAATGCCCCCGCTGTCCCCCAGACACCTCAAACATCTACGTGAACATCGTGCCCCGCCGGACCCCGAGGAACAAGAGCCCCCAGGGAGCAGCTGCTGGAGGACAGTGCGTACAAGGGGGGCTGGACCGAGCGTGGAAGCTCCCCAGCCCTAAGGGGTGACCCCCCCGTGCCCCACAGCCCCCAGTATCGGCAGGCATAGGGTGCGAGCCATGCGCTCCGCTCTGCTTCACACAGGAAGAGCCCCCACTGGGTTGCAGCATCCTGCCGCCTCGCTTCCTGTCTTCTTGCGGCGCCTTCCTGCCCCCCAGCATCCACCCCTGGGGGCAACCGCAGCCCCCGGGACCCCCAGCACAGACCCTGCGCACAGGCAGCCCTGGGGCTGGGGGCACAGCACGGTCCCACAGCCCCCCGAGTCACAGGGGAGCCGCCGTGCCGCCGTGTCCTCATTTCCCTTTGCACTCAGTGCCTGCAGAAGGGCTCAGCCCCATCCTGGCACAGCCCCACCGGGGGGCACTGCTGTCAGCCCCCCTGCAGGGCATGGGGCGGTGGGGGGCCAAGGGTGGCTCTAAGCCTGGTGCTGGGCCACGTGGGGGGACACATCCAGACACCAACCCTACCCCCAACCCAACCTGATCCATAATCCTAACTCTGACCCTGATCCTAACCCTGACCCTAACTCAAACCTTAACTCTGACCCTAACCTGAACCAAACCTGACCCCAACCCAAGCCCTGATCCTAACCCTGATCCTAACCCCAACCCAACCTAATCCATGACCCCAACCCAACCTGATGCCCCAACCCTAATCCTAACTCTGACCCTGGTCCTAACCCTGAGTAAAACTCAAACCCTAACTCTGACCCTAACCTGAACCCAAACTCAGTCCCTCTCCCAATCCTAACTCTGACTCTGGCCTCAAGCCAAACTCAAACCCAATCCCGAACCTAAACCCTGCCCCAAACCCAGCGCTCCCATGGCGCAGCAGGATGGAAACCCCCCCCCCCCCCCTTCCCCCACACAATGGAGTTCAGCCCCAAGACGCACCAGAGCCTTTAATGGGAACACCAGGGGGGGGATCCCCGGCACCGTGGGGCTCAGGGTGGCTGTGCAGCCACAGGGTAGAGCAGCGAGAGGTGCCGGGCGCCGCGGACGGGCAGCGCTCGCGCCGTGTAATGCCGCACGGCCTCGGGCACGGAGGGGAACGCGGCCCCAGCGCGGCCCAACACAAAGTGCTGCTCCCGCGTCCGCGTCAGCTTCACGTGCACGAAGCCGTGGCTGCTCCTGGGGGGCAGAGCAGGGAAGGGGCAGCGCGTGGGCCTACGCAGGGCACACGACCCCGTGGGGCAGCCCCGCGTTGTACCTGAGTGACAGTGAGTAATCCTCGGGGCTGGTCTCGCAGTCCCTCACCAGGAAGCTGCCCTCGCGGCACAGTGCCAGCAGTGTCTCGGCGCCCGCGCGCCCAATGGGGCCGTGGTACCACCTGTGTGGGGCACCATGGGGTCACCGACGGCATCCCAACGTGGGGCACCGCGTCCCGCCTGCGCTGCTTGGGGATCAAACTCGATGTGGGGGCACCGAAGGGCTGTGGGGAGCCGTCTGTGCCACCGGGATGTTGGCTGTGGGGCATCTGCTGTGCTGTGGGGTGTCCGTGCCACGGGGACCCACCTCCACCATGGGGATCCATCTGTATTATGGGGACCCATCTCCACCACAGGGACCCATCTGTGCCATGGGGACATCCCTGCTATGGGGACCCATCTCCACTATGGGGACACATCTGTGCCATGGGGACCCAACTGCACCACGGGGACCCATCTCCACTACAGGGACCCATTTGCATCATCGGGTCGTCCACGCCATGGGGCACCTTTTGTGCCATGGGGACATCCATGCCATGAGGACCCATCTGCACCATGGGGCACCTTCTGTCCCATAGGGACCCAACTGCACCACAGGGACCCATCTGTGCCATGGGGACGTCCCTGCTATGGGGACTCATCTCCACTACGGGGACACAACTGTGCCATGGGGACCCAACTGCGCCATGGGGCCATGCATGCCATGGAGACCCATTTCTATCATGGAGCACTTTCTGTGCCATAGGGACCCATCTCCAGTACAGAGACCCATCTGTGCCATTGGGATTTCCATGCCATGGGGACCCATCTCCACCTTGGTGACCCATCAGGGATGGCCTCTACCTCCTCTGAACCATAGGGACCCCACTCCCCCCCTCCCCACCCCCAGGGCCGTGTCCATGCCATCCATGACGTTTGGGTTCAGGTTAGGGTGAGAGTGAGGGTCAGGGTCAGGGTTTGGGTCAGGGGTCAGGTTTGGGTTCAGGTTAGGGTGAGAGTGAGGGTCAGGGTCAGGGTTAGGGGTCAGGTTTGGGTTCAGGTTAGGGTGAGAGTTAGGGTTTGAGTTTGGGTCAGGGCTATGAATCAGTTTGGCTTAGGGCAAGGTTCAGAGCCAGGGTTAGGATCAGGGTCAGGGTTCTGCATCGGTGCCGCCCCACTTTGGACGGGACCCCCACACTCACACTTGCTTCTCCAGGGGCAGCGAGGTGTCCACGTGCCCTGGGCTGGGGGGGCAGATCGGCCTCGTGCCCGGGGAGGGCCGGGGGGGGCGTGCTGGCTGTCGGGACAGACTGGGGGAGCGCTCAGGACTCTCAAACTGCACTGCGGGGACACAGCGTGCTGTCACCCCACTGAGGAGTCCCAGCATCCCAAAGTGGTACCCACAGGGGG